GTTTGGAGATTTAAATTTCTTCTCCTCCAGACATAAAGAGTGCCCCCTTGTCCTCTGTGATGACCTCAGGGTGAATAACTCTACACCGAGTTCACTATATGAACCACTTTTGTATTTATACATGTTGATCATATTCCCCTTTTAATCTCCTCAAGAGAAAATAAATTCAGTTCCTCTAATCTTTCCTCATAGCTGAGCTCCTCCATGCCTCTTATCAGTTTGGTTACACTTCTCTGTACTTTCTCCAGTTCCCCAATGTTCTTTTTGTGAATTGGTGCCCAAAACTGAACTGCATATTCCAGATGAGGTTTAACTAATGATTTGTACCGGGGTAAAACTATATATCTCTCTCTGGAGTCTATACCTCTTTTAATACAAGAGAGGATTTTGCTCACTTTAGAAACCGCAGCTTGGCATTGCATGCCATTATTAAACTTTTGATCTAGCAGAACTCCCAGAGCCTTCTCCACCATTAATTCTCCCAATTGTACCCCCCAGTATGTATGATGCATGCATATTCTTAGCCCCCAAGTGCATCACCTTACATTTATCAACGTTAAACCTTTGCCACATAGTTGCCCAATTAAACAGTGCATTGAGGTCAGCCTGTAAGTTGAAGACATCCTGTATGGACATTATTCCATTGCATAGCTGGGTATTTTTAATCCAAGACCTTATATCATTTATAAATACATTAAACAGTAAGGGTCCCAACACTGAACCTTGGGGTACACCACTGATATAACCTAGACCTAGATGTAGGAGGTTCAGGAAGAGGCACCTGGACAGCTGTCCTTTCATTCAAGGCTCAAGACAGGTACGTACCATGTGAAATCAGATTATGATTTCATATGGATAACACAATATGCCATGAAGAGGACATTGCAGTTCTGCAATCGCCATGCATTCCAGTCATTTCAACTATTTATTTGAACATACAGTCATGGCCGAAATTGTTGGCACCCTTGATATTTTTCCTGAAAATCAAGTATTTCACACAAAAAAGGTATTGCATTAACACATGTTTTGCTATACACATGTTTATTCCCTTTGTATGTATTGGAACAAATATAAAACAGAGGCAGAAAAGCAAATATGACATAATGTCACACAAAACCCCAAAAATGGGCTGGACAAAAGTATTGGCACCCTTAACTTAATATTTGGTTGCACACTTTGGAAAACATAACTGAAATCAGTCGCTTCCTATAACCATCAATAAGCTTCTGACACCTCTCACCCGGAATTTTGGACCACTCTTCCTTTGCAAACAGCTCCAGGTCTCTCTTATTGGAAGGACACCTTTTCCCAACAGCAATTTTAAGATCTCTCCACAGGTGTTCAATGGGATTTAGATCTGGGCTCATTGCTGGCCACTTCAGAACTCTCCAGCGCTTCTTTGCCATCCATTTCTGAGTGCTTTTTGACGTATGTTTGGGGTCATTGTCCTGCTGGAAGACCCAGGATCTTGGACGCAAAACCCAGCTTTCTGACACTGGGCCCTACAGTGCGACCCAAAATCCTTTGGTAATCCTCAGATTTCATGATGCCTTGCACACAGTCAAGGCACCCAGTGCCAGAGGCAGCAAAACAACCCCAAAACATCATTGAACCTCCACCATATTTTACCGTAGGTACTGTGTTTTGTTCTTTGTAGGCCTCATTCCGTTTTCGGTAAAACAGTAGAATGATGTGCTTTACCGAAAAGCTCTATCTTGGTCTCATCTGTCCACAAGACGTTTTCCCAGAAGGCTTTTGGCTTACTCAAGTACATTTTGGCAAACTGTAGTCTTGCTTTTTTATGTCTCTGTGTCAGCAGTGGGGTCCTCCTGGGTCTCCTGCCATAGCGTTTCATTTCATTTAAATGTCGACGGATAGTTCGCGCTGACACTGATGCTCCCTGAGCCTGCAGGACAGCTTGAATGTCTTTGGAACATGTTTGGGGCTGCTTATCCACCATCCGGACTATTCTGCGTTGCAATCTTTCATCAATTTTCCTCATCCGTCCACGACCAGGGAGATTAGCTACAGTGCCATGGGTTGCAAACTTCTTGATAATGTTGCGCACTGTGGACAAAGGCAAATCTAGTTCTCTGGAGATGGACTTGTAACCTTGAGATTGTTGATATTTTGCCACAATTTTGGTTCTCAGGTCCTCAGACAGTTCTCGTCTCCTCTTTCTGTTGTCCATGCTTAGTGTGGCACAGACAGACACACAATGCAAAGGTTAAGTGAACGTCTCTCCTTTTTATCTGCTTTCAGGTGTGATTTCTATATTGCCCACACCTGTTTACTTGCCCCAGGTGAGTTTACAGGAGCATCACATGCTTGTAACATTCTTATTTATCCGCAGTTGTGAAAGGGTGCCAATACTTTTGTCCAGCCCATTTTTGGAGGTTTGTGTGACATTATGTCGAATTTGCTTTCTTTCCTCCCTTTTTTTGTTTTGTCCCAATACACACAAAGGGAATAAACATGTGTATAGCAAAACATGTGTTAATGCAATACGTTTCGTGAGAAATACATGATTTCCTGGAGAAATATCAAGGGTGCCAACAATTTCGGCCATGACTGTATATACCTTCTCTCTTTCCTGCAACACAAACATGGCTCCTATGTTCTTTGGGTTTTTTTTTTAACTAGGAAAGGTGCAAACCTTAGTAATAGTTGGATGCAGGATCTCGAGCCACAAGACCATATTGGTCATTACTAAGCCATTATGCTGATTCGTGCAACCTTATACATGATGTATCTGCAGTAATAGGATTTTGCTTTTTCCTATGAAAAATCGGCCTACAAAAGCATTTGCAAATCATGGTCTAAGAGTCGGCCTCATTTTATTTCTTACATTATTAATTTTGTAAGTGACGCTCAAATTATATGCATCATTTCTGAAATCCCTTACTATATGGTCAGCTCTTCGGCTTCAGCATGCTTCCTTGTGTTGCAAATGGAATCAATATAAATACAGCCTTGCTTTCTTAACAGCAGTCTTTATTTAGCACAAGAATTTGGCTCATTAACTGCACAGGTCACTGGTGGTGTCCTTGACCCCTCATTATCCCATAAGCTTTCCCTAGGGGATAAATGACTGGCCTTTCAATGCAGACTGTCAGACCGATGCAGTTGTCTGATGATCCTGTGCTTCCAATAAAAATGACCTCATGCAACAAACAATAGAAATGTCTCAGGAAGCACTAAAAAGGCTATTAAAACGCTCAGATTTTCCAGAGTGTCACACTCACTGGACGTTGTTTTGCTCAGTTTGTGCGGGACTGGGGCACCGCCCTGCCAACCTCCTGTACGTGCTGGAACATTTTCTGTGCCCATTGACACTTGTGTCTTCCTCTTTCCTCTTCACCTCTGCTATTCACTGAACTTCTTTGCTCCTGTTGTTCTGCTGTATTTAGGATGGAGACACCCTTGTTTTCTTTCATTACTTTTTGCTGATGATTGTGCCAAAAATATACAGAAACACAATGTGCTATAGAGCAGTTTATACAGAGCTCATGCGAGAAATCTCTTTCAGATGGGCTTTGCCCCCATGAACTGCAGTAATTCTCATGACCGTATTAGATGATCTCAACCAAATAGATGACCATGGATAAGGAAATCTGATTTTAGTTGTCTATTTCCAAATAAAATGACCCACATATTGCATGTTATGACATTAATAAACAGTCCTAGCTTGCCCATGCTAACATGAGATGGGATACAAAGTTCAAGGCCAAACCTAATGTTTCTGTATGTTTAAAACCCTTGTTTTTGTTCAGAGATTTTACAGAGTAAATCTCTGTACTGCAGCAACCCTAATGTAATAACCTACCACTGAGAAGGGCTTACCTAGGCAATCACCATACTACTCTTCCTACTGGAACCTTCCCACACAGGCCACTACTATTGCCATCCCAAACTGGCTGTTGTTCCTTCTATACACCAATGTTGTACATTAATCTTTTCATCACTTTTACTCATTACTGTATATACTTCCACTTTTTGCATACACTGTACAGGTACACATGAACTCATCTTCATTAGTGACCAGACAAGACTTTGTAGATGTCAAAGATGTCTTCTGCACAATCCTCAGTCACTACAAGTGACTAAACAGTTACATTGAAATACAGATGAAATCAACTTCCATTTAAACATAACTCTCCTGGGTATATGGATTGTGGTAATGGCATCAGCTGTGACACTGGAACTGGATGTGACAATGGTGTCTTTGGCTTAAACAATTCCCATGCATTAGACATACAGTCCCCCACCTTTCCCAACTCTGGATCTAGTAACGGGACTCTTTCCTTCAATAGTGATGACATTGTAGGATGCTATGGCCTTCCCTCCTCCACCATGCTTCACTGTTGCCTGCACACACCAAGTGACTCAACAATGAAGCATGGTGGAGGTTCCTTGCAAGTTTGGGGCTGCATTTCTGCAAAAGGAGTTGGAGATTTGGTCAGGATCAATGGTGTCCTGAAAGCTCAGAAATACAGACAGATACTTATCCAGGGAGGTGTGTGATTGGCCCCCAATTTATTCTGCAGCAGGGCAACTACCCCAAACATGCAGCTGATGTCATTTAGAACTATCTTCAGTGTAAAGAAGAACAAGGAGTCTTGGAAGTGATGCTTTGGCCCCCACAGAACCCTGATCTCAACATTGAGTCTGTCTGGGATTACATGAAGAGACAAAAGGATTTGAGGAGGCTTACATCCACAGAAGTTAGTGGTTAGTTTTCCAATATATTTGGAACAACCTACCTGCCTTCATGATGGTTTGAAGCCAAAGAGTGGTCACACCTAATATTGATTTTTCTTTTCTTCGCTCACTTTGCATTTTGTAAATTGATAAAAATCAACTAATTAAAATATCTATTTTTGAAAGCATTCTTATTTTAGAGCATTTCTTAACACCTGCCTATTACTTTTGCACAGTACAGTATCTGTTTAGCTTTTTTGCTAGATGTGTGTACCCCTTTTTTTTTTTTTTTGTTTCAGACTGGACGAGTTGATAAGAATCATCCTTCAGTCAGTGGTCACACAGCTCCCGTACTAGACATTGATTGGTGTCCCCACAATGATAATGTCATTGCCAGTGCTTCAGATGATACTACAATCATGGTAAGTGTAACTTGATTATTTATGACTAAACTTCCTTCTGATCTTTCTCCATGTCCTTCACACACTATAAGGAGCTCATTTATAATGGAACGTCAATACCACTTTCTGCAGGACTCCACAACAAATATTTCACACTGCCACTGTACTTTAAATTTAATTTACAAAATCCAGAACATACAGTTAGAGGAAGCCTTGTATTCACGTATAAAAATATACGGCTTATTGTGAGTGGATGATCAGTGTTAAGCCCAACTCTGTTTTGTTCTGACAGCAAGACAGTCCACGTCCCGCTGCCAGAACACAGCAGATATGCTAGTCCTTACTGTACTCAGAGGCCTCTGTTCATCCAGAAAAAACAGCCCTTAGATATTACAATAGTCTGATAACTACTAAGTTGCCACATATGGACATGTTTTGCTTTAGGTTTGATTTTTCAGAACAACAAAATTTGGCACCAGTTATGTAGGGGCCTACCATCTGAACAATCTGTTCAATTAGAGGACAGGTGGAAATTCATTTACACTATAGTTGCTTGCTGACTGCATAACTTACATATATATATGTCAGCAGAGCAGCTCTTTTGCGCTTGGTCAGGTACCTAGCAAATGATTAGCGCTTCTGAGTAGAGCGCACACCCTCCAACCCGGCTGTGCAGTGAATTGGTTACAGCACAAGCCGATCAGGAGGTCCTGGCCAATGATTGACCGCTGGGACCCTCTGATTGGCTCAGTGACTCACGGACAGAGCTCTGTGATTGTAAACATCACAAAGCTCTGTATCATGACAGGTGATCTTGTTGGTTTTTCATTCCCTGCTAAGCAAGGAAAAAAACAAGATCCCTTAGTAAAATCAGCACACAGTACAAACATTTATAAATAATAATCCCCCTGCGCTCCACTGGTAATAATAAGACCAATAAATTTATGCAAGCTGCTATCACCTTTTCCTTATACCTGAGGATAAAGAATAGCAATATAATGGTGGTGAAGCGCTACGCCTATATATAAATCAGTGTGTATGATATATCTACAGTGCTATATATTTGCATATAGATCACAAAAAAAAAATATATAAACAAAGCATGCATATAAATTAAATATAACACTCTAACTGGTGCTTTAAGATCATGCTTATATTGATGGATACCTGATGATAAAGTGCAAGCCCAAAGATGGCGTCTACCAGAAGTGCGTCACCGCACTCTACAAACATTAACACTTCCTAGGCCTGTGATTTGAATGCCACAGATGTTAACCCCTTCTTATCGAGTGTCATTAGTACAATGTCCATGCATATTATTAACACTGATCACTGTGTTAGTGTCATTGGTGATGTCAGTGTCAGTTTCCACTCAGTGTCAGTGTCAGATTGCCCTCCGCACTATCACAGTCCTACTATAGGTTGCTGATCACCGATTACCATTACTAGTAAGAATAAAAAAAATTCCAGTATATACAGTATACTGTCATTTGTAGACGCTATAACATTCACGCAAACCAATTAATGTACATTTATTGGAATTTTTTTTACCAAAGACGTAGCAGAATACATTTTGGGCGTAAATTTCTAAAGAAATTTTTTCATTCATATTTTTTTATTGGATATTTTTTTTTTTTTCTTCAATTTAAATATTTATTGATTTTTCAGATAAAGAAGTTCTACAAATATACTCATTAAAACCTTAGCACATTATCAAATCATTTATCTTTTCATCCCTTCCCCCCCCCCCCCTCCTCTTACCTATATACCACCCATCCCTCCCCCCCCCCCCCAAATCCAACACTTAACCCCTTCTGCTCTGCATTTTCCTGTTCATTTCTGGAGATCTTAGTCCCTATAAAAGAAAAACAAAATATTTTCATATTATTCTATGTTAGTCCCCCATATCCTCTATGGTTAACTTTAACTTTTTGAATTCCTCCCATTTGTTCCATCTTGTATGGTGACTCTCTATCTTATCTTCATTCATATGATAAAGTTCCTCCAATTTACATATTTGATCCACCCAATCTTTTACTTTTGGCACCCCCTGTATCCTCCAAAACTTGGGTATCATTATTGGATATGTGTTATAACAAAAAGTAAAAAATATTTAGGTTGTTTTTTTTCTCAAACTTTTTGGACTTTTTTCATTTTATATAATAAATAATTAAAAAATCCAATGGTGATCAAATACCACTAAAAGGAAGTTTTATTTATGTGAACAAAATTATATAAATTTCATTTGGGTACAGTGTTGCTTGCCCATGCAATTGTTTAACTGTTTATAATGGCCTGGTCATGAAGGGGAGTAAATCTTAAGGAGGGCAAGTGGATAGGTAGGTAATGGTAGTTTTGTGTTGACCCGACAGATAAAATCTGAAATTAAATATCACTGTGTATGGCCATCATTACTGTGGGCCACAGCAAGTTCATAGAAAACATTGCATGGAATGGCTCATTTTTATTTTGGTTTATGCGGTCTGTGCCAAAAGCAGATGTCTTGTTGTAAGCTGTATTAGCTAAATGTATTATTATTATTATTCTAATACAAGATTTATATAGTGCCAACAGTTTGCACAGCGCTTTACAAAATGAAGGTAGGCATAACAGTTACAATACAATTTGGTACAAGAGGAAACGGAGGGCCCTGCTCGTTAGAGCTTACAATCTAGGAGATCCTAACAGTAAAAATACCAGGTATAAATAAGCCTGTGAACATCAGCATCCGATGACTGCGTAGCTCCATCCCTAACTACTTGTTTACTTATTTAATGCAGATTGGCTTCACATTAAAGCCAGCTATACACTAGTAGATTTCTGTAAAGCTTTGAGATGTAATCCTGGTGTGTTAGCTGGTAGATAAAACATGATCGAGGTTCTAATTCTACATTTATCTGTACAACATAAAAAAAATGGGCTGCATTTGGCCTGTAAATTTTAATTCTCAAAATAAGTGAGCGCTTAAAACAGCTAATATAAAATCACTAAATAAAAGAAGAAAACAGCAGCTGAACACCAAAGAGGTACCATATGAACCTTCTCAATAAAAATGCATACAAGGGAGAGGTGCAGCGCTAGCTAAATAAATAAATATACACTTATATACTTGATAAATCAGAAAAAAGTGCTATTAAAGTGCAAAACGGTGACTAAATGATGAATATAGTCCATAGCGTGCTCAGAATCCAAGAGAGTCCTTTAAGAGCTCCAATCCCTGGATTCGTGGATGAGGTGATAAAGGGAGCGGCTACAAGCGGTGTGACGTCACGCCGACCGGCGCCACGAGGGCCCCGGCGGCCATCTATTACCTACCTATCCATTTGCATGGTCAGTATCCTTCCTGCCTCTGCCTGTATACTATACTGTGTGTTTTTGGGAATAAATACCCCTTGCCTATAAGGTATCACACTATCTGGCCTCCTTTGTTCTTTGGGCTCTGGTGGGAGTCCTTTACATCTGCAGAGCGGCCTTTTCTTCTATGTGTGGAATACACTACCAGGTGGCGGAGGGCTTTCTGTGACCAGATCTGACCAGATCCATATGAGGATCCTGGAATATCAGCTTTGAATGCGCATTTGAATTGCGTATTTGGTGAGTGCGCAATTTTTACCTTTATCACCTCATCCACGAATCCAGGGATTGGAGCTCTTAAAGGACTCTCTTGGATTCTGAGCACGCTATGGACTATATTCATCATTTAGTCACCGTTTTGCACTTTAATAGCACTTTTTTCTGATTTATCAAGTATATAAGTGTATATTTATTTATTTAGCTAGCGCTGCACCTCTCCCTTGTATGGCCTGTAAATTTGACTATAATTTGTGGTAGTTAGATTGCAGAGATGCTGTCCTACATGAACAAGTTCCTAGCTATTTGGATATATGTTGTGCTTATAACTATGAACTGTGCCCTAAGTGGATTCCGTTTTCGTGTCTTTGTACATGATCAGATGCTTTTTCTTTTAGAGTAGGTGGCATTTTTTGAAGCCCTTTTTATCAGTTATATTTTTTTTTTTCTATTAAATCTGCATTTGGTACACCATTTTGTAATCATTGATCACTGTATATTTGCAGAAAAAGATGTGTTCAGTGCAGTGTTGCCAACCTCCCGCAGCATTTTTTTTCCTGACAAAACATGGAAAATTTACTGATGGAGCACATTTTTTACTGACAACCTGAAAAATTACATTAAAATCTAAGACAATCAGTATAAACACAATATGGAAACACTGACAATACTCCTAACAAGTAATTTGACTGGTTTACACTTACAACTGTGTACAAAACACAGCATGACAAACTATCAGCCCCTGATAATTACACACAGCTGTAAAAATCACTGATTTTTACAAACTGTCCATAAATTTACTGACGGCTGGCAACCCTGGCCCAGTGGTCCACAGTGCCACAGATCTAAACTATGCATTGGTGTCAGGCAGGGGGGAAGTGAAACCTGTGGTTCCACACTTTCTCCTGCTAGGAGTCAACATAACTCTGCTCTACTGGGTTGCATGTACACCCTGTTCCAAATTATTATGCAAATTATATTTTTCTCATTTACCTAAATAATTGATGTAAATAACAGTCAGCATAATTCTCATGTTATCAACTATTAAGAGTACAATTCAAATTTTATTGAACAAACCTCCTAATGATAACAGTATTTTTTTTAAACATAAAACCCTTCCAATGCACTGTTCCAAATTATTACGCACAGTAAGTTTCAAAACACTTTATAGGTTGTAAAGAACTGAAAATTGTCATTTGTTGTGTTTGCAGCATATTTACTGAAATCAAAAGCTATTTCAATCGAACTTTTAACAACATTTTAACTTTTTAAACATTTTAACAGGTCACGTTACATTTTAACATAGGACCCCTTATTTGATAGCAGCTTCACAAGTCTTGCATCCATTGAACTTGTGAGTTTTTGGACAGTTTCTGCTTGAATTTGTTTGCAAGATGTCAGAATAGCCTCCCAGAGCTGCTGTTTGGATGTAAACTGCCTCCCACCCTCAT